CTGCTCTTTATGTACACACTATTGTAAGTGAGAGGCCCAGCACTGAATGCTGCTTTAGTAGTGTACCCTATTGTGCTGGGAGCTGAATGAGCTGCTGATCACCTCGGGGTTAATTACATCATTCCACAGTAGCCAGGCTGTAGGCTGTAGGGCAGGGAGACACGCCCGGGTGGGTTGCACAGGGCAAACAGGTGATACAGTATTATCTGCTCACTGCTTCACAGAGTCACCACCACTGACAATTTCCATAAAGCAATAATGTGCAGAATAACTTTTGAAAGATTGTTTTTTTTTTTCTCCGTTCTTGTATTTTAATGCGCTTGCCTAGCTTTGGCCTGGAGTAACTCCTTCACCTCTCACTTGGGGTGCAAAATAAACAAAAAAAATGTTTTTCCCTACAACGGAGAGAAAATACCAATATGTCACAAAATGGCATGGTGAAATGAAATGCAATCATTTTTATTTTATACGTTAGATTCAATTTAAAATGAGAGCACGCCTGGTTGTTCCACCATCTGGCGTTAGTAAATACATAAAAATAAAACACCGAGAAGGACAGTAACTCTAAAAAGAGACCGTTAGCGGAAATGACTGGCCGCAGAGCTGAGGGGGAAATGATTTTGTGTCTGTCTTAAGATAGATTGCTTTTCCGAGGAACTGATCGATGGCTGGTTCCCCCTGTTTTCAAGAGGCAGGATGAGCACAGAATGATACTGTAGGTAGTTGAGGTTTTAGATGGGGTGAAGTGGTCCTGTTCTTCCAAGGGACAAAGCGGAAGTGGACAGCATAATGTACACTAAAGCAGTGTTTCTCAACCCAATCCTCAGAGAATCATGGACAGTCCACGTTTTTGCTTCATTTCAGCTCCCAGCGCACGTGTACCAGGTATTCAGTTTTCCTGATTGGCTGGGAGCTGGGAGGGAGCAAAAATGTGGACTGTCTGGGGTTCCCTGAGGACTGGGTTCGGAAACACTGCACTAAAGAGAAGTTCGCCTGGTTGAAGGTCTGGTAGATAGAATACCATGGCACTTTGCAGCTAGACCTCAAGGTTTTTGCATTTAATTAGCAGTCAATTTTATCCAGAATGGGGGTTAAGGGCTTTGCTCAAGGACCCAACAATGCCGTCACTCTGCCAAACCTGAAATTTTAACCAGCAACCTTCCAATCACAGGGCCAGCATCTAATCTGTTGAGTCACCTCCCCCCAGGTGTAGACCCCAGCAGGAATTGAACTTTTGATTTACAAGATCAACCACTGAGCTACACAGTCTGAGTTGGTGTAGTGCTTCACCATCAGGCACCTAAAGGTAGCCTTTTACGCCTTGCATTGATATTTATGTGAGCAACTCGTTGGGCTGCATTAAAAGGAGATGGTGCGATTGGAGATGCAGTGCAGCCTTTTATTTTACCCAGCTAGGGCTCATTTTAGCTTCATTAAATGGTGAAGCCCTGTCATCTCCGAGTTAGGCCAACATCCCTCAGGATTTAAGGATTTCTTCTTAGAGTTTAGGATTTTTTAGGATTTTTCTGACACCCTGCCATTTGAATCCCACATAAAACCCACTCATGCTGTATAAATAAGTCTTCCTTAGGTAGGATTTATACCTAGGCTCACTTTGGATTTGATAACGAGACCTCCTGTCTGAGCTGAGGTGATTACGGGACATTTTTATTGTTCTTTCTATATCCTAACGCTTGACTCTGTACGTCCTCTTATTGCGGTGAACTGAGTTGACTCAGAGTTGTACAGAAGTACAGGATGCCAGCTGTGAAAGCACCCACCGTAGATGATGGTGTCCGCATACTTTTTAAGATTGATTCCGCAGTGTCTGATTGATTCCGCAGTGTCTGATTGATTTCGCAGTGTCTGATTGATTTCGCAGTGTCTTTTCTACTTTTATAAACTGTTCAAGGGATTGAGGGAGTCAGGTTATTTCTTTGTAATAAAAGCAATACTTCCATCTAAGTCCACATGAAGTAAAGAAAGACTGTTTTCTGTTTTACTGTTTACTGAAATAGAGGAGAGTCTAACGAAAGGTAAAGCAGGGAAATAGCAAAACAGGAGCCCTGTGTAAAGAAATGGGACATGGCATCATAGGGACTAATTGTAATTGCAAAACAAAGATCATTCCAGTGTCTAAGGAATTGAATTAATGCCTCCTCTTGTTTTTATCTCACAACACAGACTTTAATGTTGGGGTGGGGGCGGGGGCGGGGGCGGGAATGGGGGTTGGCTCCTACCTCTTACCTCCAGAGATGAGGGTTGAATACCGCCCTCACTCTGGGTGTGAGGAGCTGCGCCGATCTCTTTCTGTAGTTCAAAGACATGCAGTCCAACTAATTGGAGTTTCTAAATTGCCCATGAGTATGAATGTGTATGTGCCCTGCGATGGACTGGCATCCCATCCAGGGTACCCCCTGCCCTGTGGCCTGCGATGGACTGGCATCCTATCCAGGGTACCCCCTGCCCTGTCCCTGTTCAGGATAAACGGTTAGACACTGTCTGTTGCGCTGGTGTGTGTTCTGTTCGACACAGTTGGTCCAGGTTGGCTCTGGATTGCCCGATTGAGCATCGCCGTTGTAGCTGGTTGGTGAAACTGAGCTCGCTGCATATCGACCGTCACCTGTACTCATGCTGATGTGTTCCAGTGTGCAAATTTACACAACTGACAGGAGCTGATCTTTTGTCGGTCTAGGTTGCTGCTAGGTTTTTGCCATTGACTTGGTTGGGTGTGTACCCAAATTTGCATACCTTTAAAAAAATCGATTATGCACAAAGCCTTTAAAATTTCATAAGCGTGCAAGTGCTAATCTCATTTACTATATAGTTAAATGGAATGAATTAAAATTAAAATGCATTAGGAGGCATATTCTGTGCATGGACAGCTTTCTTTCTGCTTCCCTCCAGAACTGGGACGCAGCTTCAGAAGGAAGAGCTGTTTTAGAACTTGAAGTGTTCCGTTTGACAGATAGGTGCCCCATTCTCCCGCTGTTGTGAGAATGAGACGCACGTGCCATAGTAATGACCCGGGAGCATCCGGAAACATCTGTATATTCCACAGGGACGCACTCGGATAGCATTCAGCTATTCCGCTCAGGCAGAGCACACAGCTAACAGGAAACCAAATGGGTGGGTGGCTGATTGACTGTTTGATGACAAAGATCTTGAAGCGAGGTGACCAAGAAGGTGATATCACACAGCCAGATGGAAGGGGCTGGAGATGAGTAGCTATAGTTGGCCCCTTGTTTGTTTTCTACGTTTTTTTTTTTTTGGATGCTGTTCTCCATATTTGGTTTGCCAGTAAACAATGGGAAAAGACAATCAGCCTGTTGAGGAAATGGGCCAGAAGGAGGTGGGTCACAACAAAATCCCCCTTAGGGACGCCTTTGTTCTCACCTTTCATTTTAAATCCTTCCTTGGTGACTGAACTTTTGGCAGGAAAGAACTTTTGGAGGAAGAGATTAAACCACTGGTGTTGTCCATTGGGTGCAGTTTACCACATTATTTACAGCATATGTTTGATCTGCTTGTTTTTCTTTTGTTTGCAATGTTTTCATCCTCATCTCTTTCAGCAGTATCATGCATTTAGATAGCGGCAGACAGACAGATGACAGACAGACAGACTTTATTACCCCCTATTAGATATTATCCCAGTATTGCATATTTTTAGATGACCTGCACCAGAAATCTTCCAGATGGTGGCTTCCATGTGCTCTTCATCAATGAGAAACATTACCCTGGTCACAGTGATTATATCTTTGCGTGTCCTGCACTCCTATAGGCTTCTCTAAGTGCAGGAATCTTCTCATCCTGCTTTTGCCTGGCTGACACACTAAATTCTGAAATCGATTATCTTTTTGACACACACAGGTGTCATTTTGTACCTCTCACATTTGCTTGAGCCCAGAACAATACTTTCATTTTTTGTTTTAAACAGGGAGATTTTTTCCCTCCCCTCCGCATGAATCTTGACGAAGCCCCAGTCAGCTCACCTCTCGGCACAGCTGTTGTTTTCTGTTTTGTGTCTCTAATAAGATGCACATTGTCTTGCTGCCGGTTGATGGTAGTTTTGCGATTTGCACAAGGGGTGATTTTAAAGAGTTTCTCCGCTTGTGTTTACATGCTTCTCCATCAGTTTGTTCAGCCTTTAAAGCCTTCATGTCATGTTAAGAGAGTCAACCATCAATGTCGCTGAAGTGACAGAATGTGTGTGTGGTATCGCTGCCAAACTAGTTACTGTTTACGAATCAGGAAGGCGAGGTTTTCTAATAGTGAAAGATGAGTATTATTAACAGCAGGCATCAGAGTGGTGTAGTGGGGGCTGCTCTCAGGTCCAGGGTTACAGGTTCGAATCGGTGCTCATCTTTCTCTTCCGCACATGCTCCCTTGGGGCTCCTTGAGTAATGCAAAGGTTCCAGCATGAAGTTGTGGGTTTTAAATTGCCTTTAGTGCGAGTGACTGCTGTCTCTGGGGCTTTGGATGCAGATTATTAACCACCGACTATCTATCATCCAGTTTTGCACTGTTTTGTATTGTTTGCACTATCTGTATTGTTTTACACTATTTGTGTTATATCTCCTGCAAGCCTGATGTGTCTCTGTGTTCTCTGTATGGTCTGAATGATGCACTTTTCATCACTGAATTGTCTTAATAAGTTCTGGCTTTGTTGCACGATGTTGTGTAGCCCCTGGTCCATTACTACTTAGATTTGTACCTAGGCTTTCAGTGGAAGCTGAGCCTAGCTGCACTTACACATAGTCGCTCCTCAACAGCCATACTGTATGTTTTCAACATGCTGTTTGCATCGAAAGAGTCTGCTGAAAGAAAAATTACGTCCGGCTGAACGAATAAGCATTCCAATGCACCTGTTACACATGGAGAATAAAGATCTTGAATCAGGAATTTAAGTTAATGCTTGGAAGGAATCATTCTTGGTTCTTTTCCTGGGGGGTATATGCTCCGCTTTATACCTTGTCTGCTGTGCTCTCTTCACTGGACAGCCCTGGACCCGCGACAAGAGGTGGTGGAATCACTGATGCAGACTTTTAAGGATAACTTCCGCACCGGCACGGTGGCTGAGATCTCGCGGCTGCAGCACGCCACGTCCACCAGCAGGAGGCCGTACAGCCGCTCGCGAGGTAGGACCACCCGCCACCGCTTCTGCAGTCCGCGGCTCCAGGGGCATAGGGAGGACAAACATGGCAGTTACATATCTGTCAAGGCCTTCGGAAAGGTTCCCTCTCGTCAGGATGGGCGAACGGACATATGTGATGCAGGGTCAGGAGGACAGAACGAGGATCTGATTAGGGTTTTACGGTTGGTAAACTTGTAAAATTACAGAACTTGAACTAGGGGAGAGAACAAAAGATGGGAATAACATGAGGAAAAGAAACAACAAGACAGCCACTGTGTGTACAGGAGTGGTCACCACCTTTAGCCATGTGATGTGTCTGGGAACTCATAGCTTTAGAAGTGGGCTTCACGTGATTGGAAGGGGCCAGTAACCTGACTTCACCTCACCCACAGATACCCACGCCCAGCCCACCCTGCCCAGATCGCAACCGTGATAACTTGGTCTGTGTTGCCCAAGGGCACGGGGGGGTTTGGGTGGATTAGAAGCCCTCCCCCATCTCTTGGAATGCATCTTCATGTGCTCTGTCTGCACCGTATGCGTAGAGGGATGCTGCAGAGGAGTGAAATTAGCCAGGCCACTTAACAAGCCTTAATGCTTTTTTAAAAGGTGGCGGGACGCGTAGCCATGCTCGGTGTAAGAAGCGGCTCATCGGAGGGCCTTAGAGCCCCGCCAGGGTTCACACGCCTCCTTGCCGACGCAGCTCTTTGTCTGCTTTTGGGCGGCCATCCGGAATCACACAGGGACAAGCTGCAGCGGTGTAAGGCACGTGTTCTTCTGATTGCTGGACACCTGCCTAAGGTTACTGGGGCGGCTTTATAAAGCAACATTTTACTTCCATTCTCTAATAAATTACAGTGTGCATTATGCGTGTGTAGAAGCTGGCAGAAACTTGGGTGATATTCACAAGTTCAGTGAAATCAAATGCCAATTTTGACCACCCACACACACGCACATACACACACCCACGCACGTGACTCGTCATTCTACCCTGAAGATTAAAGGTTAAAACTGAAAAATGCAATTTCTGGCAGACTTAAAGAAATGGGGCCTCCCTCCTTAATTGTCCACATTAATGCTGGGCTTGATTACGGGCATTACTGAGTGCACTCTGAAGGGTACTCTGTAGGGCACTTAGCATTCACTCGATTTTCCTGAACAGCTCTTAAATTCACACTCACTGCAAGTGGCTTCATTGTTTTTTTCTTTCCTTCCTTACTTGCTTCATGTGGGAGGCCCTTCAAACTGGTATGATGATTTAAAATGACTTATTTAAATCAGGCAACAAGGTGCTTTAATGTAAGACACATGCATGACAAATTAGTCACATCCACCGAGAAAACTGAAGTGACTCAATTGGAGATGAAGGAATTAGGATGGTAATTATTTCATAGTCAGATAATTGCAATTCCCCGAAACCTGAATTGGGAGCATGATGAGATACACGGCAAGGCTGACAAAAACCTCACATTTACGACCATCCGTCCTGCGAGTTGTGATTTACGCTTGTTTCCTGTGACAGTGGCCCTCCACACGGGGCGGCACAGATCCGCGTGACGGTAAATCATGACAGAAGGTGCATAAAAAAGGAGAGAGGCCTAAATGGGACGTGGCTGGTGGCCCGGCGTCTGCGTGCGGCGGTTTTAAAGCCCCCTGGTGGTTTCCAGGACAGAATGTGAGAAGATAGCAAGACGCTTAATAAGGGCCCCAGTTCCAGACCCTTGGAAGGTTTGGGCCTCTTGGGTCCTGTCAAAAGATAAGATACGATGAGTTTTATTGATCCTAGGGGGAAATTGCAGGCTGCAGTGAGGTATATAAACAAGACAAAGTCCAAAGACAGTACATGGAGTGTAGACAAGTAAAGTTTCAAAAGTACACAGTAAACAAACATAATATTCTGACAAAGGATATTTATGAAAATAGATTATTATGGAAGGAATATGTGCAGCAAGAAAAATCAGATAGCATCAGCCCAACAAGCATGGAGCGATTAGGTAACGTTAGTCTATGGTCCTCATATGGTTAGTTTTACAGAAACCATTTTCTGATGTTTAGAGAATGTAATTATGCGTTATGCGTTGTAATGCATCAGAGCATTCCCCAAATGTTTTGGGAACTAAGTCTAACGTTACAGGAACGTTTATATAACATTTAGAGAACCTAACTGGAACATTAATATAAGGTTTTCCAAAGGTTTCTTGTATAGCAGTGGTTAGGAGAACATTTATAGAGTCAAACAGGAATGTTGGCCAAAGGTTATCCAGAGGTTTCCACATTACAAACGTTAGGAGAATGTTCCATAAACCAAAACATGCAACCAAGCAAACATTCCTATAACCAAGTATAATGTTCCTGGAACATTCTAGGTACCAAAAATTGTTAGCTGGGAGACATGTGACTTGGGGAGTGGCACGTTGGTAGACATGTGACTTGGGGGGTGGCACGTTGGTAGACATGTGACTTGAGGGGTGGC